GCAGCGGTGTGTCTGTCTCCAGGTACTCTGCTGCAGCTGCTGCTGCTGCAGTTCGCCCTGCTGCTGCTGCGTCTCCACCTCTCTCGGAGTTAGCAGCAGCCCGACATCGATGAACTCAGCAGCAGCAGCAGCAGCAGCAGCAGTTTGCTTTTCATCTGCTGCTTCTGTTGCTGCTGTTTCTGCCGTTGCTGCTGCTGCTGCTGCTGTATGAGCTGCAAGCGCTGCTGTTGCTGCTGCTGCTGCTCGCGCTGCCTCCAGAGCAGCTGCCTCAGCTGTGGTAGCTGCTGCTGCTGCAGCTTTTGCTGCTGCAGTTGCCTCTGCTGCAGCAGCTGTTTCTGCTGCTGCTGCAGCCTTTTCTACTGCTGCAGCTGAGGCACCTGCTGCTTCTGCTGCTGCAGTTGCTTCTGCAGCAGCAGCAGGAGCAGCAGCAGCAGCAGCAGCGCGCTTCTCTTCCTCCAACTCAGCAGCACAACTGTCTCCTTGGGATGCTGCAGCAGCTGCAGCAGCTGCTGCAGCAGCAGCTGCAGCGGGGGAGAGATCTACGGTGTCTCTATCAGATATCGAATGCTCAACTTCTGTTGCTGTTGCTGCTGCTGCTGCTGCTGCTGCTGCTGCTGTTGCTGCTGTTGCTGCTGCTGCTTCGTCGTTGGCAGAGACCGTGAGATGGATGTATGACTTCGTCTCCTCCTGTGCTGCATCTGCTGCTGCTGCTGCTGCTGCTGCTGTTGCTGCTGTTGCTGCTGCTGCAGTTTGTCGGCTATCAGGTTCTTCCTTTGACTCCTTTGCAGGGCTGCTGCTGCTGCTGCTGGGGCTGCTGCTGCTGCTGCTGCTGCTGCTGCTGCTGCAGTTTGTCTTTGCTTTTGTTTCTATCAGTTTGCTAGGGGGGGAGTTGGCGCCGGGAGAGACTGCAGCAGCTTCCTTTTGCTGCTCATCCCCCGCAGCAGTTGCTGCTGCTGCTGCTGCTGCTGCTGCTGCTGCATGTGTCGTCGCATGCTGCTGCTGCTGCTGTTGCTGCTGCTGCTGGGAAGCCGCATCTGTTTCTCCTTGTTCAGCTTGCGGAGATTCTGAACTGGCGCGCTTTGAGTTG